TCAATTTTTAGTGGCTGAACGTTTTCTCAATTGTTGTTACCAAGATTTATGATGTCATTGTACAATGATGCGACTGCATGTTGCTGATTTCCTTTTAATGATGTCCTATTAATATTGTCCATGTTTGTAGAGTGGCTATAAATTTTAGATCCTATGAAATCTGTGCATAAGTGATAGTAATTATTAATTTTATTAATTGTTTGACTAACTTGAATTATAATTTGAAAAAAGGACGAGCCATCGCATTTTTGACGGTCTCCACCTATTCTGTCCTGGACATTGATGAATGAGATAAATCGCAGATTATGTCTCCAATGGTATAGGGTGAAAGACTGCTGTACACTTGCACAATTGCACTTACCTAATGACCAAATCCATATTTTAGGATCCGAACCCTTGACGTGACAGTTTTAAGTAAAACTGGAGTTTTTCCACACTCTCTTTTTACCACTTGGAGATGTGCCCTAGAAGCAACTTGAATTATAATTTAATTACTTCCTTAGTTAGAACACGAGTTCGAGTATAAGAAGACATGAATACTCAATGTTCTATATCAACGCACAATATACAATATATAACATTTTTCTTTTAGGCCCTGTTTGATATTCCCAATTTTCCATGGAACTTGGAAATCCTTTTCCATTTTCGGAAGAATTTTCTTTGGAATTGGTTTTCCACTCTATCAAAATATTTAATGGACAATTTTCATGTAAAATAAAGCCAAACGAATATCAAAAGATCCAAAATTTCAATATTTTTCACGTGAAAAATTATACTAATCAAACACAATTAATTGACAATTTCCTGGGAAACAATTTTAGGAAAAAATTCATTTTCTTTCCACCCAAATTCCACTATTGTAATCAAACAGACCCTTGTCGTTCCTTTCTTAATTTGGTCTAACATCTTGGAGTTTTACATAAGGGCATCCACCAACACTAGCACAATTTTAAGTGTCGTATTAGTATTAGATACATGCATATCTGAGAAGTAATTTTAACTAGAATGAAACAAGTTATTGATAAATGAGAATTACTTGCGAGTTTCATAAAATACATATATAGAAAGAGTGTTCGATCGATTATATGTATAAATTATAAACGGTCCCAAACAAGCTCGGACCCAAAATTTCATCTTGTTAAGGTATTCTCTGTATCTTAGTGCTTGCCTAAACCTAATTAACATTTTCCTTACCAGCTTAATTAAAATCCCAAGTAGAAGCCAAACAAAATAGTAATGGTCAAAATTCATGGCAATTACAAAAAGAACTTTCTCATGAACAAAATGTAAAATATCCCACCATAGAGGCTGTCAATTTAATAAAGAAAAAGGTCCATCAAATAAACTAAAAAATCTCAGGCCAACTATTAATAGTATGCAGTGACTGACAATGGAGTTCATTAGAGCATCTTTAAGAATCTGTCCACATTTATCAAGAAAACTGTATCAAAATTCTCCGGCCATCTTTTTCAGTATGCGTAATCCAACCACCAGCGCACTCACCATTTCAGTGGCTGATCACTTATCACCATCACCACCGCCACCGCTGCCACCTCCTCCACCGTCAACCAATCTCAATCTTGATCTATCATCGCTCCCCATCGGTGTTAAACACAAAGAACAACTTACCCAAATTATTATACCAACTCTATCTGAGATTATAAGTGAAACCAAAGCATTACTTAACCTTGCTTTTCCTATAGCACTAACAGCCTTAATCCTATACTCTCGCTCCATGATTTCCATGCTTTTTTTAGGTCATTTTGGTGATACTGAACTTGCTGCAGGATCTTTAGCCATAGCATTTGCCAACATAACTGCCTATTCTGTGCTGTCAGGTTTAGCATTAGGAATGGAACCCCTTTGTTCGCAGGCTTTTGGTGCTCAAAACCCAAAGCATCTTTCTTTGACTTTGCACAGAGCCATCGTGTTTCTTCTTGTTTGTTCTGTACCAATTACGTTTCTTTGGCTTAATGTTGCAAATATTCTTCGTTTTTTACTTCAAGATCCAAAAATTACCTTAATGGCCCAAACTTATCTAGTTTTTTCACTTCCTGATCTTGCTACAAATTCTTTTATTCATCCCATACGTGTTTATCTTCGGGCTCAAGGTATTACAGAGCCGCTGACATGGGCTTCACTGGCTGGAACAGCTTTACATTTACTCTTTAACTACTTTTTGGCTTTGCAGCTCAAGCTCGGCATAGCTGGAGTTGCGGCTGCCTCGGCTTTGTCAAACTTGGTAGTGCTGGTGGTGCTTGTTCTGTACGTTTGGGCCCGTGGGTTGCACTTGCCGACGTGGACCAAGCCGAGCTGGAAGTGTTTGACTGGTTGGACACCGCTTATTCAGCTAGCCATGCCAAGCTGTGTCTCAGTGTGCCTCGAATGGTGGTGGTACGAAATTATGATACTTTTGTGTGGACTTTTGGTGGATCCCGACTCCACTGTGGCATCCATGGGTGTTTTGATTCAAACGACATCCTTTCTTTACGTATTTCCATCTTCATTAGGGTTTGCGGTGTCAACTCGGGTCGGGAACGAACTCGGAGCGAACCAACCCAACAACGCTCGAGTCTCGGCCATGGTGTCAATTTTCTTATCGGGATTAATGGGTTTGTCAGCTATGACATTTGCCATATCAATGAGAAATTTGTGGGCTCAAATGTTCACAAATGATTTGAACATAGTACGGTTGACATCAATTGCTCTCCCAATCTTAGGGTTGTGCGAACTAGGAAATTGTCCGCAAACAGTTGGATGTGGAGTCGTACGTGGGACCGCTCGTCCGTCCATGGCAGCTAGCGTGAACCTCGGTGCGTTCTATCTAGTGGGCATGCCAATAGCAATTGGGCTTGGGTTCTTGGTTGGGCTTGGGTTTTTTGGACTATGGATTGGGCTGCTGTCGGCCCAAGTTTGTTGTGCTGTGCTGATGATGTATATGGTTGGGACCACAGATTGGAAGTACCAAGCCCTGAGGGCACAGTCACTAACATGCATCGAATGTGGCGAAACACCACTTCCGTGACGTCATGATGACGACTTGACAGTTTGGTTTCCTGTCTTCTCTAATTTTCCCTACTTTTAATTTTTTTTTTCTGATTGTGTTCAGAGTTAATGGTTTATCACTGATTTTTTTTGTTTTTTTTTGGTTGTTTGCTTCTAATATTTTCTAATCTTGGATTTATTTTGTTGGACAGTGTTGACATTGTTTAATGTATATGTTAATTATGACTGAATGTGTATATCAAAATTTCTTTTAAGTTGCAAAAACATTTGTGACATTGTCTCTATGCAATTTCATTACTTTTGTGTTTGTAATAGGTACAAGAATTTCATTTTTAACAGTAGACTCGGCGATTTTTTTTTCCAACAAAACAATAAAAAGTTAATGAAGGCCTGTTCTCTTTGTCGTTTTCGGACCGTTTTCTGTTTTCGATTTTCGAAAACGCCCAAAACGCGTTCTCTTTCCTATTTTCGAAAACGAGTTTTCGAAAACACAAAAAAAAATTGCATTGAAAACACAAAACGGTGTTTTTAACGTTTTGGATGTTTTCTGTACAAAACACGAAAAATTTTGAAAACGCGCAAAACAAATCCTACTGTTCCAAAACGACCCATTTCTTCCCCAACCCAAATCCATCTCTCTCTTCCATCTTCTCTCGTCTCCAGTACAGAACAGCCGGCGATCTCCTCCTCTCTACAACCGGAGCTGCTGTTGGGCCGGTGCCGACGCCGGAGTGGGGATTGAGGAGGTGACGCGGTGAACACAGCGTCGCGAGCCATTCATCGCGACCCATGGGAGGCGACGCTACTGTGGACGTTCGTCTCTGTCGCCTCTCTCTTCGACGCCGGGCAGTTCGTCTCAGCCCCCTCTCTCTTTTTTCTGTAGTATTTTTGTTTGGGCATTTTTTGGTTGTATTGATTTTGGTGGTGTATATGGTTAATGATGGTGTTGATTGAGGTCGTATGTTTTCAGAAACAGTTTTTCAAAACAACAAACAGAACGCATTTTCAGCAATTGCAAAACGGACACTCAAAACACAAAACACAAAACGAATTCAAAATTCAAAACAGAAAATTGAAACACAGAGAGAACGGCACCTTAATGACTTTGAACTATAAAAATATCCGTCATTATAAGTGAAATTTTCGCCGAGAGCTAATGGTTTCACATTTAACCCCTGTTTGAGCTACATTATTTTTTTCATTCTCATTTTTTACTTATTTTCAATCACACATTTTTCAATAAAATAATATTTTCCATTACATCAGTAACTTTTCTTTCTTTTTCAACCACATATTCCCCATCACATCACTTCAAAAAAATGTATTCTCTCATTTTAATATGCATGAAACACACTCTAAAGGAGAATCGAGACTTTGATTATAAAAACACCATCAAAGACTAGGTGTAGTTATTAACCTCCACTTAGACCTAATGGGGTTTGAATTTCCCGATCCTATTTTACAAATTAAAACTAAGTACGAACAATGTTGAAATGCACAAAATTCAACATGACAACTTCATGGCTTTCACTGCATTTGAAAGTAGGGGGTGATCCAGGGTTTTAAGTCAGCACGGGCAGTCGTTGGTCGTCGATAGTTATAAAATATTAAGAGCTCATTTGATACCCAATTTTGTAAAAAAATGCATTTTAGAATAGTGATTTGCGGGAGAATGTGTGTTTAAAAATACGAAAAAGTTTTGAATTTACGTGTAATATTATTTTATTGAAAATTGTGTGGTTGAAAAGAAGAGAGAAAAATGTATATTGAAAAAAAAAAGGAATCAAAGCCTAAAATTTAAATATAAAAATTATTTTGTTCAAATTGAACATATAGAGTTTTATGGGGAAATTAGGTCCAATACGGCCCGTAACGAACAAAATTGAAAAATACACTTTAAGCTAATTAAATAATTCCAAACGTAAATTATAATTATTTTGTTCAAATTGAACATATAATTTTTTATCCAAGTTAAAAATACTCACCAATATTGTGGCCAAGTTATAATTCAAAGGAAGAGCTCGAGTTCGAATTTTTACAATTGCATTAAACTATTAAAACTTAATATATATTATTATGTTAACAATAATATCAAACTCAGCAAGTGTCCTAATGGTAAGGATGCCAATAATCTTTAAGGATAGTCGCGGGTTTGACTCCCCCCTCCCTATTGCCATTAATTTTGGTAAAAATTGGAGAATTAAAAATATATGAATTGCAAGCTCATAAGAATTGCAAGGTCTAACCAACTCAACTGAAGGAGGCGTTTGAAAATAAAATGAAATAACAGTTATATAAGCTAATATATTTATCTATTGTAAAAAAAAAAAAAAAAAAAGTTCCCGATAGATCTAGCATGGGCGACCGCGGGGGCTCACTGAGTGTTGGGTCTGCCCCTGCTTGAAAGTCATCATCTCCAAATTTCTTATATCCAATGAGTCGAGCTCATAAATTAATGAGCCAATCAGCAGCCCCATGGCCTTTCTCCATTCTTTTGTGAAGGCTAACTCACGTTATTGTGCTAGCTTGCATTGGTAAAAATGATATTTTTCTTTGTTCATTCTTCTAATGCCTCTATTTTATTGTGATGTGTTTGCTTCATATATTACAAATTTGTTTCAAGATTTTTATAATTTGAAAAAAATTTAAATAAAAAATGGGCACTCAAAATTTTAAGTCCGACCATGATCGTCACTTAATTATCATATGATTTTCGGTGGGGTTTTAGCCATCACATAAGCCATAACCCTAAGCATGTTAAGGACGTACTTGCTAATTTTTTTTAAAAAATTTAATGAATCACTTTCTACAAATTGAAAGTTTAAGCTTACCAATTCCAATGGTAGTTTTCCATATATTCGAGCAACCACTATGAAACTATTACATTATTTTTTGCATATAAAATGCGCACACGAATATGAACCATGAATTAACAATGTTAAGACATTCACAACAGGTGCAAGAATTGACATCTGTTGTGTCCCATTTAGCTATCAAAGTAAAATTCATAATGCGTGCAAGAGTTGAAATTTATTGTTCTATTTGAATGTCACTTCATTCGTTTTCTACTTAAATTTTGACATCTCAACACAGACAAATACTTAGACGCCACTTCTACCCACATAGTCCATAAAGTTATTACCGGAAGAAAACAAAGTGGTCGTGGCCGCCATTTCAACGTCACTAAAATATGTAAAGAGGAAGAAAAAACAATAAAAAACCTAATCCTAAGCCATCATGCTTGTCACATGGTGCCCTAATAAGCAACTCTACAGTCCCCATCCTATGTCTCTCTCTTTTCGTGCATGTTTTCCACCTTATCTGAATCTCTTTGTGATCTTAACTTGTTGCCTTTTTCTTCAGTTCCCACAACCCACCAACATCGCCATCATCATTCGACCCTACTCCATTATGCCTATCTATACACCTAAGAAGACCTAAAATCTTAGCATTTTTATGTTATAATACAACGTTGTATCTGTTATGTTGCAGAGAAATATTGTAAAATGGTTTTAGGGTTATAGCCTTTGTCCACCTTGAAAGCAACACATTTTGAATATTCTTCTCGACAGCTTGGCATGCATGAGGTTTGGAGTTCCATTATTTGCTCAACTTACTGTTTCTTTATTCCTCCAATTTGCATGATCTGTTGGATGTTTCCCCCAGTGGAGCTTATTCATGGAGTATACACATGAATATGTGTTTTGGATCACAACTTTTCACCACTTAATGCAAAAAAAAAGTTGCGAAGAATTTTACATTCAAAAATTTTCATGATGGATGACATTTTTGGATGTAAAGTTTGAAAATTTGTGATGTCATAACCCATGTAAATTTTTCTAATAAAATGATGTAAATTATATCGAGAAATTTGTGTCGCAAAAATAATAAATAATTGAAATTTTTTAAAGAAAAGAAGAGTTAAATGACTCTTTTTAAGACACGCGTTTTACACATCTTTAACTATTTTCGACATTTATTTAGACTGTTTGATATGTCTATGATGTAGTTTTCAAAAAGAACTTCGAGAAGACATAAGTGATTTGTGGATTCAGTTAGTATACAATCATCGATTTTTTTTTTTTTTTTTNGTTTCGTGCACTATTAACGACGTAGAAAATTAGGACGTGGGCATTTCGAAATGATATTAAGAATGCAATATTTCGACTTTATTTGACATCCTATAATGACTTAGAAAATCGAGACAAAAACATAAAAAAATTGGAAAAAATAAAAAAGATTGGCCCCAAAGTTTGGGGGTTACTTGACTCCCCCATGCCACCCTTGTGTCCATCCTTGATTCCCAACTTTTTAATAACACATTTCATCAATTTTTATCAGAATCTGTTAAAAATCTGATTTTTTTAAAACCAAACGTGGGCTATATAGAGAGATACATAGGGGAGAGAGGGGGAGGCAAAAACACACATTCATGTATAGGGATGTAAACGAGCTGATGCGACTTGAGGTTCGGGCTCGATTTGAGTAAAAATGGTTCAAATTTTTTTTACCCCGAGCCGAGTCGAGATTTTGCTCAACCAAAAAATCTAGGCTCGATCCGAGCTTTTGATTCAGGCCTTATCAAGCCGAGCCGACTTATGGTACACGTAACTTTTAATTTTTTTAAGGCTAGACCCGTTCATCTTTTTTAGGGTACTCCCAAGAACAGATCCAATGAAGATGGGGTGAGGCCTGTAGCTTAGACGATTAGAGCACGTGGCTACGAACCACGATGTTGAGGGTTCGAATCTTTCCTTGCCTACAACCGACCAAAAAGGGAAGTACCTTTCCCTCTAGGGGTAAGAAAATCATGATGGTCGAAAATGGCTCGTGACATGAGCCGACCCGTGTGGCTCAACAAGTCACTCGGGCTGGCTTGAGCTTTTTCTGGACTGAGAGATGGGCCGTCCGAACCAACGAGCAAAATTGAAACCTTTATTAGTGTGTATACTCTGTGGATATATACATACACTAGGTTGTACCACAACAGAAATGTGAAACGATGCGTCATGACACTTA